TTCCTCTTCACCCTCACCTCCTTTTCATAGTTATAACAGAAGTACGAACTTTTAGATCCTTTTCAGACATTTTTCTTCTTGTCACTCCACCTTTATTTTGTCAAATAAAGAAAGGTGTGTCACCATAATTCTGTTGTAAATATAACGCCAGCCCTCTAAAACATGTCAATGTTTAACTAATCCATAAAATGTTGATTTAAGGATACGCAATGACCATGAATCTATAAAGCAGGATGGTACATTTAAATAATGTAATATACATTTTTATTTAGATACTTCAACTGTGCCATCCTGCTTTTTAGATTTACAAGTCTAGTTCATAACGTCATGGTCATTGTGTATCCTGTGCATTTCTGAAGGTCTGACTTTATCAGTATGCTATTTTAAGTCACACATGCTTCTGCCCGACTCCTGGCCCTTCTTGGACATACAAGGGCACAAGTTAGCTTTGCAAGAGAAGTATCACAAACGATACTACATGTGAAATTGTGTGAAAGTGCTGATCTGTGTTTGTACTACAAACTGGATTCGAGTGCAAAAGTATGTATGATGTTACATTGCAAGTTTGTGTTTATTATTGTATTTCTGTGGATGTAATTTGATGCATTTATGGCTTTTTTTTGGTCATAAATCAACATGTTTGTCATTAATGAATAACTTCAACTTTGTGTTTTGCACTACTGTGTTTCTAGCTGTTTCTCAAAAACAAAAAAAGGTTTCTGGTAATAAAACAACTGTTGTACCAGTTGTAAAGAGATCCAGATCCAGATTGTGCAGTCGTTCCTTATGTGAGGAAGTAGCCTACTGCTGTTCTCCACTTCATTTGACTCTGGTAAACCACTAAAGTTTTTTATTTTATTTAGTTTTTTATGAATATCTTGATTGTGTGTGTGTGTGTGTGTGTGTGTGTAATAACTGTTAGAAATAAATATGTGTTAATGAGTAAAACTTTTTAAAATAAAGAGGTTTATGTAAATACATGGAAATACTTAAATATATAGCAAAAAGCCATTCAGTTCTGCCTTTTTATTGTATAAAACTTTGCCTCAGCTTTGCATTCCACTGTGTGTTGTTTTAATAAGCTGTTTCCTGTTAATTATGGGTGGATTGTGTTGTCAGATCAAGTCACGTCTCATCTAATTTCTAAACATGAAAAAGCTTTTTTTTTTCTTAAAGGGGTCATAAGATGCAATTTCAAAGTTTCCTTTCTCTTTGGAGTGTTACAGTCCGGGGTCGTCACATGTGGTTGCCACAAGCCCGCCGGCTGCTCCTTTGTCGAATCCGCTGGCCGTTCCTCACTCAAGCCCGCCGGCCGCCGCTCACTCAAGCCCGCCGTGTGTGACGCTGTGTTTTTCATTGTAAAAGCAAAACTACTTTATTTGGTCTACAGTATAAGTCATTATAATCCATAATTATGTCCCCACTGGATGCAAAAAATGCCTCATTTGTAATGGGTTTTACTGGTGTTCTCTCATCGCGCCGGGACATGGCATCACAGTGTGTTAAGGGGCGTAACATTTCCGTCACACGCTTGAGGTATTCAGCCAATCATAATGCCCTG